GGGGCGGGTTTGAGCTTAGACAACTTCCCCTTGTCTCTCCCTGGTGACTCGGGGGCGTGCTTGTGCCTCCTCACTCGGGGCTCCTCGCCCGGGCCCTTGCTGGGGGCCCCCAGGTGCGCCTGACGCTGCCCTGCTGGGGAGGGGGCCTGGCTCAGCAGCAGCAGCGGTCCCCAGGGCACCACCCTTCCCGGCCTCGTCCTTGTGGGGGGCTGCAGAGGCAGCAGCCACCGAGACCTTCTGCCGCTGGAGCTCAGGGTCAGGCCGGGAGAGCTGGACACACCAGGAGAGAGAGAACGGACACCAGGCCGACACCGATGGGAGTCGCCCGGCCGGGACCAGGGCAGGCAGCAGGGGCAGGAGGCGGGACCGCGGAGCCCGGAGCTGGAATCAGAATGGTGCGGAGGGGGACCAGATAAATGCCAGCAAGAACTAGGAGGACAAGGGGAAAATGTTCGTTGGTGGTCTGAGCTGGGATATCAACAACAAGATTTAAAGGACTATTTTACTAAGTTTGGCGAGGTCGTTGACTGCACAATAAAAGTGGATCCCAACACTGGATGGTCAAGAGGATTTGGGTTTATCCTCTTCAAAGACGCAACCAGTGTGGAGAAGGTCCTAGATCAGAAGGTGCACAGGCTGGATGGCCATGTCATTGACCCTAAAAGGCCATGGCTATGAAGAAGGACCCAGTGAAGAAGATGTTTGTGGGGGGTCTGAATCCTGAAGCTACTGAGGAAAAGATCAGGGAGTGCTTTGGCGAGTTTGGGGAGATTGAGGCCATTGAGCTTCCAATGGATCCAAAGTCGAACAAAAGATGGAGTTTTGCTTTTATTACCTTCAAAGAAGAAGACCCCATGAAGAAGGTTCTGGAGAAAAAGTTCCATACCATCAGTGGAAGCAAGTGTGAAATCAAGGTGGCCCAGCCCAAGGAGGTCTATCAGCAGCAGCAGTATGGCTCTGGGGGCCGCGGGAACCGCGGCCGGGGGAGCCGAGGCAGTGGTGGCAGCGGTGGAGGTAGAGGTCAGGGGAGTGGTCACCAGAATAACTGCAAGCCATACTGAGGTGCAGCAGGAGGGCTATGCCTGCACATGCTGGGTTTGGATACAGAGTGAATGCTATTATGTACCAAATTTAACTTGGCAAACTCTTTAAGGCCTGTCCCATGTGTATCTTATTTAAAATTGCCCCCCTGGAATTCACTCTCCCATTGACTATTTCCAGGGCGCTAGTTGTTTTAGGCAGCATGTGGTATCTCAGGCCAGGGCGGCATTACAGGCTGATTTCATCACCAGGTTACCCAAAACCAGATTGGAGTGTCTGCTTCCCGCTGCCACTCTGAAGCCCGGACCTCTGGACCCTGGTTGTAAAGAGTAAACTGTATCTTAGGGAAAAAAAAAATTGCTACCTGTCTGGTAGGCACCTTCTCCAGGGAGACCTTGTGATCAGGTGAGTGGTGTCATAGTCAGAAGACCCAATTATCTGCCACTCAGCCTTCTCTCTGTCCCGCCCTCCTGTGAAACGTCTTTCGTAAGCCAAACTGCCCAATCCCACATCAGGGACCTTCGACCTGGACCGCTGCAACGCACCCCAACACCACACTTGGCTTACCACTGGCCTTGAGAAGCACCTTTCTTTCTTTCCTTTTTATTTTTTAATATTTATTTATTTATTTGAAAGAGTTACACAGAGAGAGAGGAGAGGCAGAGAGAGAGAGAGAGAGGTCTTCCATCCACTGGTTCACTCCCCAATTGGCCACAATGGTTGGAGCGGCACTGATCTGAAGCTAGGAGCCAGGAGCTTCTTCTGGGTCTCCCACATGGGTACAGGGGCCCAGGGACTTGGGCCATCTTCCACTGCTCTCCCAGGCTGTAGCAGAGAGCTGGATTGGAAGTGGAGCTGCCGGGACTTGAACATGTACCCACATGGGATGCCAGGACTGCAGGCAATGGCTTTACCCACTATGCCACAGTGCATGGTTTGAAAACACTGGGCTCCGGGCTGGTATGTGTCCACAACAGAGTTTTTACTGGTCTTTGGCCAACTAAGAGAAAAGAGACTATTTTATTTACCATTTGGCATCGTACAAAAACCTCACACACAGAGAAGTATATTCAGTGTAAATGTGCGGGTAACAAGTAATTAGGATGCGGACATGCAGGGCATCACAGCCCAGGTGTCTTACTGTGGAACTCAGTCACATCACCAGGCCTCCTGCAGGAGCCAGCTGCCACTGGGCTTCTGGGACCCAGCTTGGTTTCCTCTTGGCCATTCAGCTTGCCTCCTGAGTTCTCCTGATGCCCACAGTAGCTGTCTTGTTTTCCCTGCTTTTTTGGCCTCCTCGACCATGACAGGTCACAGGTCAGCTCTGGCAGACAAACTGTGTAGGCTCCAGAGTTTCAGGCTGCCTGCCCAGTGTCCCCTTGTCACCTGAAGCCAAAACTCTCCTGCAAATGGGCAATCATGATACCTCCACCTTACCAAAAATTCTCCCCAAATCTCAATGCATCTTCATGTTTTCCTGAACCACATTGCTGTTGTTGGAATTGCATGAAATTCCTAACTGGCCAAATTCAGGACAAGTGTTTGGCACAGTATCTTAGGTCACCACTAGGGATGCCCATATCCTACATCGGAGTGCCTGGTTCGAGTCCTGGCTCCTCCACTTCCAATCCAGTTTCCTGCTAATGTGCTTTCTGGGGGTCAGCAGGTGATGGCTCAAGAACCTGAGGCCCTGTCATCCATGGGAGAGACCTGGATTGAGTTCCAGGCTCCTGACTTTGACCTGGTCCAGCCCTGGCTGCTGCAAGCATTTGAGGAATAATCCAGCAGGTGGAAGATCTCGCTCTCTGTGTCTCCCTGCCTTTCAAGAAAAGAAAAGAAAAGAAAAAATGCCCAAATTGGAGGGTCCTAACCAGGGTGAGTAATTTGTAGGTACCAGTTAAGTGCAAATTCTGGGAGAGCAGAGGAAGAGTCCAGTGCCAGGCCTTCATCCCAGCCACTTCCTATGTGCAGGTGCCTCTGCTTAACCAACAGATCCAGAGAGGAGGCAGGTCTTTCATGCAACAGCAATGAGAGAGGGGAAGGAGGCTGGAAGAAGAAATGGATTCATCAGCAAGGAGATCTTCAGCTTTGCCCATTTCCCCAAGGAGGCGAAGGATGAAAGTGTTTAGCTCCAAGAAAAACCGTCTGATTAAGCTGGGGTTTAAAATGAAGTGAGAATTTCACAGGATCTCTCACATCAAGTGCCTTTAAAGTAAGTCCTGATACCTATTTTCAGCTAATGAAAGGAGGAAGAGATAGTGGCCCCAGGGAAGGGTCACATCTGGGAGGTGCTGAGTGGCCACTCTGTACCTGGCTGTGTCCTGGGGACCAAGTCAGGGACAAGTGGGAGAGGGCCCTGGGCGGGCAGTGGCTCCTGTGCCAGCAGATCTGCATTACAGGGCATGGAACCATGCAGGGGAGAAGTGAACCGCATAGCCAGGTGGACGAGGGCCTGAGGGTGGGGACAGATGTCCACCTGTAGTTGTCCTGCTCCCTGGAGGGCTGAGTGAGGGGTGGCCATGGCCTTGGGAAGCTGGTATAATCCTGCAGAGAGACCAGGAGGCAGAGGAGTTGGCCTCAGTAAGAGCACATTCTACCACTGGCTGAGTTAAGATAAACTCCGAAAGGCACCCTGTGGGTGACCAGAAACCATGAAGACAAAGCACAGTCGCAGGGCCTGAGTTGCCCACTGCACGCACAGGGACTGCAGGGTGCACAGCTCAGCCTCCCTCTCCCTTGGCTGTCCAAATAGCCCAGAGAGTTTGGGTCTGACCTGGGGTGACTC